CAGAGTGGTACTCGCTACAATAATAAGTCAGGCGCTCCCATTGTCTGCATTATTTGTGTCTGAACGTGTGGAAATAAAATCTAGGCGTCCTGAAAGAGATTAGTATTAGACATATCACAAAACGAGGTTTAAGGTAAAATAAAGTTAAATTGGTATATGAAGTTCGACGTTGGCGATTGATTAAAAATTTAAAAATTAAAGATTATTGACTAGGAATTTCTTGTGTTTTAAGTTAAAATCATAGAATTTATGGGTAAGACTCTTGTTAGGCAAGAGGGGTTGAGCGACATTTTGACTAGGTTTGATAGAATTTACTACATGTAAGTTAAAAAAACACAGTAATCAACAAAAATTTACGGCGCACAGCTCTAGAGGCCAAAAAGGCTTGTAAAAATTTGCTCTATAGCGTGTACAAATTACATTAAAAATTGAGCACCAATAAAAAAAATTACGTACGTTAATAAAGCGTTATCACACGTATATTGTACAAATTTTTATCTACGCCTCTAAATGAAAAAATAAACGGTAATTATTTTTGTCTAAGACTTAATTTAGGGTTATTTTGACATTTTGAGTTTTTTATTTGATTGGTTAAAAGCAGAGAAAAACGCGTGCGTTAATGAACTTCTTATCTCACTCAAAATGAGTGGGATAAGAAATTCTTATCTCACTTGCGTAGATAAAGGTTTCTTAATATAAGAATATTTAATTACACTACGAACAACTATTAATTTAAATTAGTTTAAAACTATTGTTATATACAGTACCAGTCATATATATATGTATGCATATATACAGTATAGGTAGGTATTAGCCTATTGAAAGATGACGTCAATATTGCGATAAACAAATTTGCTTCTCTAAAAGCACGCAAAGTTGAGTTGGCAAAATGTTAATTTTCTTATTTAGGTATTTGTTTTTATATGGTTTTTGTTTATGTTTTTAGGGTGGCAATATTTTTTCGACATTTTTTTTTATTTCGGAGCTCACATGAAACAATTTAAGTTTAAAGTATTCAAGTTTCAACTCAAAAAAAAATAAACGTCGCTGAAAAAAATTAACTAAATTGGAAAAATAGTAGTGGTTACAAGATCAAAATTATTAAAAAAATGTATTTCAAAATTATTGAGCGACCAATAATATTTTGACTTAAAAATGTCCCACTGGGAAAGAAACCTTACAAAATATTGCTGCAATGTTCGCCGACTTTACAAATAAAATATTTCCTGTGCTACTTGCATTAACATAAATGAAATGTTACATTTGAAATATTGCATATAATAATTTTCAACAACCTTAAATTTGAAACATTATTTAAATATTCACATGGAAAGTTTTTACAATGTTATATTTGTAACATTTAGTATAAAATGTTGCATACAAGTTTTTAAACATTACAATTATAATATTGCAGACATAACTTTTTTTCAATGTTTCAATTGAAATATTAACACAAGTTTCAAATGAAAAATGTTTGCAACTTCACTTTAAATATACAATAGAAACATTTATTTTGGAATGTTTGGGAATATTTTTGAAACATTGCAATTACAATATTACATTTATAAATTTTGGGCAATGTTTCATCCGAAATATTACATTAAGATGATTTTTGCAATGTTACTTTATATAAACAATATAAACATTTAATTTGCAAGATTTTTGGAACATTGCAATTATAATATTACATTGATAAGTTTTGGGCAATGTTTCATCCTAAATATTACATTAAGATGATTTTTGAAATGTTGCTTTATATAAACAATATAAACATTTAATTTACAAGATTTTTGGAACATTGTAACTATAATATTACATTTATAATTATAACTTTAGTTTTGGACTATGTTTCATCCGAAATATTGCATTAAGATAATTTTTGCAATGTTGTTTGCAGACTGACTTGCCGATGCATCTCGCCGCTGTCTTGGTCATTTATATCTTTATAAGTAAACAGTGACGAGCTTGATGCGTGTCTCCCGTCACCGACTGCCTGACACTGATGAGACCAAACAGGTCGAAACAGTCTGTCTGTCAGTGTTGGTGGGTATGGTGCATTAGTCATTGGACCATACCATTCGAGAGACGCGCTTCGAGCTCGGCTCGGTGGCGAGATGGGAAGGCATTTCAGTCTTTGATATATTGGTTGCCTACTACTGGCGTAAAGTAGAAAACCTATTGTTTTTGATATATATTATATAAATATATATAATATAAATTTATATATATAGCTACGGATAAATAATTATAATTAATTATTATTATAATAATTCATATTAATTTAATTGCAATGTTCCTGTAATGTTGCAGGAACCTTTCATTAACAAAAATAACATTTAGTAACATTGCAATTAATACATTTAAGCAACATTTTATTTGTAAATGTAACATATGTTCCTGAGCCGGACATAAGGCTTTGTTGCAATGTTCCTGCAACATTGCCACAAGGATTTTTGTAACATTACATCTAACAAATGTAACGTTCAGTAACATTGTAGAAATATTATTTTTCCCAGTGGGGTATTATGTTCCTATACGACATACAAAAAAAATAGTGAGAAGCCAAAGATTTTGAGAAAAAAGGTTGGTTTAAAATTTTGTTATCTGTTGAAAATTAAATACTTTAGACCTATTTTTTTTATTTGATCTCCAAAATCAAAAAAAAATCGAAAAAATACTACAACCCTAATGTTTATGGTTAAATAAAATCCTTTTGTTAAGAAGTGACATTTCTTTGAATTTATTATATAGGTAGGGGCGGAAATTTTTTATTAGACCCGGGGCGCAAATTTTTATAATCCGGCGCTGCATGTCATATTTTCGCTTCACTATGTACACATGGCTTCATACACAGAATTTTCCAATTGTCTTTAATCTTCAATCATCTGATCCATCTCTTAGTTATTTCCATATATTTTTACAAATTCTTGATTAATACCAGTTTGTTTCGGCTGAAGGACTACGGTCAATAGCCTTTGAACTAGGGTTGCCACCCGTCCTCCTTTGTGGAGGACAGTCCTCTTTTGATAAGATCATGTCCTTCGTCCTCCTTTAAATGAAATTTGTCCTCCTTTCTATGTATTTTATTGTGCTCTGACAAAATATTTTTCTCGGTAAACCAATAAAATAACAGACTTGCAAACAATAAAAAATGATGTTGGCCGGTATCTGTATAATTGGTTGCCTAGTTCTTTTTAAAATGCGTTATGAATATTCACTGGGAAGTTTCTTAGATGGTGCTTGGAATGAAGATTCCTAGAATGAAGCGGATTATTCCTAGATGATAGAGCATATTCCTGGAATATTTTCGAACCTTCATTGCAGTCTGGGTTAATTGTGGGTATATTATTATTTTAATCTGACTGCAATATTGCATATGCATATGCATATGCTGTTTTGTTTTTGTTATAAAAATGTGTTTATTTAATATTAGGTAGGTATAATAGGTAGTTATTAGTTTAATGTTCTATTTAATAAAGTTAATATTGCAAGGGATCGGTCCATGGTCATTTCTGTTGAACTTGTTTAGATATTGGCAACGCCCCCTTTTTTTGGAAAAATTTTCGCGGCGGGCTTTTTCCATGTCCTCCAACCCCAAGCTTAAAAGGTGGCAACCCTACTTTGAACTAAAGTTCAATAAAGCATTATTATTATTATTACCAGTTTGTTTACACTGGGAGTCCGATTTTGCCTCTCCTGGGTCGAGAATTCACTTATTTTTCAAATACTCTTTCATAGAGCTACGGATGACACGAGACCCAAAACCGAACTCTGAAGTTTGCTTCTTCTTCTTCTTAAATCTGAACACAGATAACTGTGTTCAGGGGTAATGGCCTTTAGCTTAATTTAAAAGCTATTTGGCCAGCTCATTATGTTTAAAAAAAGTTAATATGAACAAGGGTCTCAATCAAGAGAGTCTGAGTTAAACTCATCCCTTGAATCATTTATATAATATATTTATTTTAAAATCACTTTATGTCTATTTTCTTTTATCACTTTAGTACACTTTTTTCTTCGGTTTTTCTTTCTTCAAATAATTTTTCTTAATTCATCCATTTATACTTTAACATCTATTTAATTACATTTATCTTCAATACACTTCCATTCATCCATACTACTCTTCTAAAAATTTTGATTTATGTTTTACCAGTTCGTTTTCCATATTTTTCAGTATTTTCTCCTCCAATTGGTCAATATTCAATCAATAATTCTTGTTAATTCATTCATACCTTTTTTTTTATTAATTTCAACCATGCGTTACATGGCAATTGTCTGCTTGCAAACTTTTTTCCGTAAATATTCTAACCATCCGTTGTGGGAATTTCTCGTAATTTACTTAATCTGATGTAGATTTTGTATATTTAATAAATACCAGCGTATTTTTGTACTGGGAGTCCCATATTGTCTTCCCAAGGAAGGCCGTCTACAACCTTCTGCTTCAGCAGACAATACAAAACTGCTGAAGTTTGCTTTATTATAAATTGCGAAAAAGTGAGGTTAAATTCGTCAAATTTAACTCGTTTTATAAACTTCTCTATAGACATGCCTAGACAAGTTTTGTAAACGCCATTTTAGTTACAAGTTTTATTAGACACGAGCGAAGCTTAAGAGCGAGTGTTTAATAAAAAATAATAATAAAAATGGCGTTTACGAAACTTGATACATATACTATTAATAATTAATTAATAATTATGACCTGCTTTATAAATGGCGTTGTCCGCCATCAACTATTTCACACAAGTTTTCCCACTTTAGGAAACAAAATGAAACCCTTTTTGGTTGCAAGTATTAAGTTTTAATAAATAAATTTAAAGTTGCCTTGTAGAACTTTTTAAGAATATAGATTTAAACTAAATGGATTTAATATAGTTTTAAAATTTAGTCTTTTAGGATGGGCCCTTTTTGGCTAGAAGCTGTTTTATGAAGATCATCAAACATTCAACAAAGTTATTTGTAAATGAAAAGCAGAATTTTGTTGATAGTAATAAAACGATTGGATTGGTATTTTAAAACATTTATTTTAAATAAATGAACATAGTTAAATAAAAATGACAATTTGGATAGTACGTACACGAAAAAAAGTAACGTTTGACAAACAAGCCACCGCTATAGACTGCATGAAGTAAGTCTGATATTCAACGAACCTCAGTAAGAGTGTTGCACTTCGAGAGAACACTTCTTAATCTTTGGTTTGGATGTACTTGATCAAGTCGACGACTCTGTGCGAGTAACCGTACTCGTTGTCGTACCACGAGATGAGCTTGACGAAGTTGTTGTTGAGGGAGATGCCGGCGGCAGCGTCGAATACTGAAGAGTGCGTGTCGCTGGTGAAGTCGCACGACACGACCTGGTCGTCGGTGTAGCCGAGAATTCCCTTGAGCGGGCCCTCGGCGGCCTCCTTGACCTTCTGCTTGATCTCGTCGTAGGTGGCGCCCTTGCCTAAGCGGCAGGTCAAGTCGACCACGGAAACGTCCGGGGTGGGCACGCGGAACGCCATGCCGGTGAGCTTGCCGTTCAAGGCCGGGATCACCTTGCCGACGGCCTTGGCGGCGCCGGTGGAGGCGGGGATGATGTTTTGGGCGGCGCCGCGACCGTCGCGCCACAACTTGCCGGAGGGCCCGTCGACGGTCTTTTGCGTGGCGGTGGTGGCATGCACGGTGGTCATCAGACCTTCCACGATCTCGAAGTTGTCGTGGATGACCTTGGCCAACGGGGCCAAGCAGTTGGTGGTGCAGGAGGCGTTGGAGATTACCTGAAGCAAACATGTTTATATGGTCAAGAAAATTGAGTTCTGCATCGAGTTAACTGGGCATTTGTATTTTTATAAAACGTTACCCTGTTGTAAATGACCGATTAATTCCTGTAGAAACCAATTTAATTGGGCGCGATATAAAACAGAAATTGGTTTTTACTGGTATTTTCCATGATGGAAAAGTCCAACTAGGATTCTAATGTTTTTTATTGGTTTCGATTGGATAAAGCTACCTATAGGTAATTTCCAATTAAATTCAATTGGGCATTCCCAGTGTAAGATTCGAAAAATCTGCTATTTGGTTATTCCCAATACAATACAAATATCGCAAGAGGGCTCTCGTGTAGCTGCGCAAAACCAACGAGGTTGAGACGCCACCATAAAGAAAAAACAACACAAACAAGTCTTTGGACGCCATTTATTAGCGGTTTTATTATTAGTCGACTTCTGTGTTAAGTGCCTAGTGATAGTAGTGTACTTATATTTTTAAAAACATGTTTATATGTGTAAGGTTTAGGGACGATCGCGTAAGAATGATTGTCACAGCGGACAAAATAAAAAAAATTGACATAAACAATATCGACTTCGACCATGCCTACAAACATCTTTTCCAAGAAAAACAAAAAAATGATTATAACCGAGTAATTTTATTTATTTTTTATTACTTTTTTTGTGATAATAAGTTATATTTATCAATACATACATATATTACAAAAAAATTAATAAAGAAATAAAATTACTCAGTAACAATAATTTTTTGTCTCTTCTGTGAAAAATGAATTCTGGTTTTTACCCTGCTTAAAATACCCCATAGAGACCCTGTTCAAACCGATAGATATTTGTATAGGAATGTATGGTGTTTCTATAGGGTGTTTTGGTATGTATAGGACCCATAGTTGGGATTTATGGTTGTTCTATAGGGATATCCACCCTTGATTTATTTGCTATTGGTTTCAATGGGGAAAATACACATAAATGTAGAAATTAATTTTTCCCCCACAGGACCCCATAGGTTTTAATAAAATTTTGTCAAATGATTTATGGTTGTTCTATAGGGATATCCCTATATATCCTTTATTGAGTTATTTGCTATCAGTCTTAATAGGGAAAATGTACAAGTTATGGTGTGCCTATAGGTAATTTCCTATAAATTTTCTATCGGGCCGTATCCGGAAAAAACCATGGACAAATGCACATATTAAATCCGGTAGCGCTCGATAGATTATTTTATATAGGTCTCTATGGGGTATTTTAAGCAGGGCTGGGATCTAAAATTATTTTTGAATGAAATATAAACTGGTAGATATTTTCTATTCCAAATTTAAAAATATTAATTGGTTGGAATGGGTTTGGCGCTATGAAATACCAATTAATTCCATGTGCATTTCTATTGGATTTAGCCAATAGAGATAAGCATAGGCATTGGGCTGGTTCAAAAAAATCAACTATTTTTTTTTCTTCTAAAATTCTGCACTGAAATTTTTTCACGGTACCCAAAAAAGACAACTGTGAAAAATGATATGAGACATTTTTGTAGAGCGTTCAATTTCCCACAAGAATATATATCGCGCATAAAAATCTGCTAATTAGTTTATGAGCTAGAAAATTATAAAGAAACAAAACAAAATTTCCCATTTTATTTAAATGGGGAATAGAAAATTTTGATGCGCGACCTCTAAATATTAAAATTAAGAGCTCCGGTTTTTACAGGTGTCTTTTTTTGGTACCGTGAACATATTTCAGTGCGAAATTTCAGGAAAAAAAATAGTTGATTTTTTTGAACCAGCCTAATAGGCATGGATGGGTATTTTCCAATTCAAGCCGCTGACTTCATTGGAACTTACCAATAGGAATGCAACTGGAATGAATTGGTGATTCATAGCGCCAAAACACATTTCAAATCAATTCAAACCAATTACTTAGTTTTTATTGGATTTTATTGGTCATTTACAATAGGGTATTTGTATTAAAAAATATGTATATTGTAAAAATTCGAAAAATCTTTATTAGAAAAGTACTTAACATTAAGAGCTCAAATCTGCAGCGAGTTATTGTTGCGGTGTAGAAAATACCTCCACCAAAAAAAATATTTAGTGGAGTTACCCATAAAAAATCTAAATATTGACAAATTTACTTTGAAGAACTTCTAATAAAGTGTTAAAGTATATCTACAAGTTTCCCAGATACGTTGTTTTAAATAAGGCGGATATGCTCTACATCAAAAATTCCACATTGACATTTGAATTAGAAATGCAGTCAAATAATTGGTTATGTTCTGTAGCGAAGTTAGGGGGCATCCATTAATTACGTGAGATAAAAATAGGGGAGGAGAGGTCTAGCAAAATCCAGGGCTGGATGCTCCCGTGTACGAGTTTTGGTTCGTCCCGCGCATGACGTCACTTGATGAGTAGTTGCCGTGCGAATACACGAATAATAGTCGTATTATCAAAGAAAATAGAGAAATTTCTGGACATAGTGCGTTTTTATTAAACTTAATATTGAAGAAAGTGTTCTAATATGGATAATAGATGCTTTCAGTCCTTGATAACATTTAGGGCTGTAGTTTAAGCGTTGGTGTTTTAAATTATAATTTATAAACTTATAGTCACTGTCCAGAAAATGTTTATAGGAAACAGAAGCGGTCTTAACGTAAATATTGTCTATTATTTTTGTGGCATTTAAACACTGTTTCCACAAATCAAACTTTTTCGGGAATCGATTAAATTTAATGTTTTTATTTAAAGGGTTTTTCTTGGACTGGTTTTCCGAATTGCATCCAAATATGCCACACCGCATTTTAATAAATGCAAATGGCACTATACAATCTAAAACACAAACAAAACAAGTTAACGTGTAACCGTCATTTTGACAGTTACCCATTGATTTTATTTTATTAGTTTTTTTTACATCTATAACGGTATAGATGTGAACTGTTAAGTGTTTTATTTTTAGTTTTACTAATTGTTAAGTATAATTTTAACAAGGATAATTGTTTAGTTCCTTAAATGCCTCTTTCCAAGAAAATCTATTAGTTTTATTGGAATTCCTTTTACTGACACATGAATAGCATTGCCGGTATTTAAAACTCTTTTTAAGCCATTTCTTTTAATTTTATTCAAAAAATGTAATTTGATAGTATGCAACACAAACACTTCCGTGTGAGGTTGGTTGTATGTAGTTATAATGATAATTATAATTAATATATTCATTTTGGTAGCTGGTTTGCCGTTATTGACAGTTTAGTGTCAGTGGAGGGAATTTTCCAAATGATTGCGTTTAGGAGGGTATGTATTTGGGTTTTTGGGTATGTTACTAGGGTTTACTAAGGGAGTATTTGTGTTTGACGCTTAGGTTCTGGTGGACTTTTTAAAAATGTTTGTTAACATAGGCAACATTGTGTTTTTTTGTTGAAATAATCTTCTACGCACTCAATAAGGTTTCAGTGTTGCCAACACGGCGGTTTTCCCGTCAAATATGGCGGAAAAAAATAGACTTGACCACAGACCTGTCTGTGGACTTGACGGATAAAAAATGGTTTTAGCGGATAGCGGATTTTTTAGCGGAAAGTATTAAAACTTCTGGCGGATAACAGTTGCAAAAACCGCTAAAAAAGTATTAAAAAAAATATAACTTAGTTAGTTCTAGAGTGCGTTCGAAATGAGAGTGTACTTTGGATATGGTATAAGGATAGGTATATAATCACGTGACTTTACATTATACCTAACCTCCTTGTTATTTTCGAACGCCGCGGAGTATATACCTATAAACTTTATGTTGTAGTGTTCTAAAATCAATTGGTTTTGCTTGTTATTTGACTGAATACTTATAAATATTAAATTATTGAATTTCAACCCTTTAGTTATATGGATTATTCAAGTTTTTGTGATGGATTTTGTTTTATTTTTTAGAATTGATATTTTTTAAATAATTTATTATTATAAATTTTTTTATTTTAATGTTTTTCGTTTTTGTTTTATTGAATTTTAAACAGTTATAAATAAATAATATGAATTTAAATACAAATTATTGTTTGATGTACCCTATGCGCATGACGGGTAAAACTTAACCAAGTCTAAAGCTTGGACAACCAAGAGTGCACTTTGGGCATATACTTTTTCTATGCTTGCTGTTTTCGAACAGCTGACAGTTGCATATATCTAGGTATATACCAGAGAATTCGAACGCGCAAGGTAAACTTGGAGTGTATCCAGAGTGCACTCTTGCGAGTTTTCGAACGCGTCCCTAAGTTTCTAAAGAGTTGGCGAAACTTATTAATGTTTGACATTTGACATATACTCTATGTTTGACACATGGAGCCTACACAAGGAGCCCGAACTTAATAGGGAAAATTGACAAAACCTGTCCACTAAATTGCACAATTTAAGTCTTTTTTTTTCACCACCAGCGGCGCTGCTTGTTAATGCGTCCGAATGACGTGAAAATAGTATCGAAAATACATGTGAAGTAAGCAAGTAAGTTTTGACAATTGATTTGCAATAATGTTTTGACGTACGAATCGTTTTGTTATTTATGGCTGTACCTGGTAGGTAGATGCTAATGAAAAGGTTTTGGTTGTGAAATATAAGTGATTCTTTATAATCTGTGAAGTGAACCAGGTACATGGGTACATTGTTTTCAGAAAGTGATAAACTGACAGTTGCATAACCTCAATTATTTGCACAATAATAAGTGGTAGGTAGTGGCGCCATCTCTGGTTATACCCCTCTACTGTTTTGGACCGGTAGTACACCAGCGCCCTCTTATCTTAGGAAGATTCTTGTTTACATGAAGTTCGGGCTCCTTGTGTAGGCTCCATGGTTTGACACCTCGAATGAAATTGTCGGTAAAACAGTGCGCAATAAGATAAACTATCTTAATGCGCACTGTTTTACCGACAATTCCCAGTGTCAAATGTCAAACATTAATAAGTTTTGCTAGGCTATTTGAAATAACTTATTTCTACGAGTTTCGCCAACTCTAGTTATATCTCTAGTTAAAGACATCCCATTAAAGTGTGTGTAGAAGAGGAGATGAAAGATGAAAATTTTAACAGAATGTCCAACAAGTATACCCAATGACTAAAAAAATGTTTATTTTTTTAACAATTAATAATTAAAAAGTATAACATCGTAATATGACTGCAAATTTTTGTGGGAGGAAAATAATTGTGGGAGGAAAATAATTAATAAGTACCGAGAATAAGAAAATACAATATATTTTTTTATTATTCCAAAAATAATTTTAAATCTGGCGGATTTTTAGCGGATTTTCAGTTTGCCTTCGGCGGAAACTACTTTCAGACTGTTGACAACACTGTAAGGTTTACGTTTTTCCTTTTCGATTTGGTCGTTGAAGCGATTAGATGAGAGTTAAGTTTGTGCTTAAATTATGGAAAATTTCCAAAAATACGTGGTAAATATTCAATCTAATTGTATAATTCCGACCAAGACAATTTTCGTATGGTACGATGAGCTCTGGGTGAGTTTTTGACCTGTTGCTGAAATTAAATGTTTTATCCACGAGGTTCTCCATTTTAGGGTTGTGTTATTCCCTCATTTTTGGTCTTTATCCAGTCCTGACGTTGTATAGTTATAAAAACTCCTTTAAACAAGGGTAAGTTAGGCGGTTAATAGTTTTTTAGATGCTTGGGCATCATACCATATTTTTTTTTTAGGGTTTTTATGTTGGAGTTTTTTGTAAGACTTTTTATGTCAGATTTGTTATAAAGGAATGGTTTTTTACCCTGAACTTGTTTTGGATAATGGCAAGTTCTTACGTTATTTAACACGTTCACTGCCGACGAAATAGTCCGCCCATATTGCAGTGCCGATGTTTTTTTTTGGAAATTTAAGCTAAAAATGGACTAAAAGTTGTTTATCGTTTCTTATCGTAAGGTTCTATATGAAAAAATACTAAAACAAAAAACAAATAAACAAACGTGGTAGACGCGTTGGCGGCACCCAGCGACAAAAACAATGCTATATGCCACCGTACAGAACGCGGGTCCCGCGTGCTCGGCATATTGTAAAATACACAAGAACGCGGTAGCCGCGTTGCCGGCAGTTAAAGGGTTAAAAGCCATCCTGTATAATCTGACATGGTTGGAGACTTCAACATCAGAAGCCAACCCATTCGGAGACACACTCTACCAGGGCCCCAACTACGAACAGGTCGTACCAATTTTGAATATTAATGTTCACGTACACTACACTCCTTATAATATATTATGTTTGTGTACTTTTAAGTTGAGAGTTCAAAATAGTTATTTTAAGTATTGTAACAAGATATTGCATAACCTAGATGATAAATATTGTATTGCCCTAGCTCATGTCGGCTCTCCACTGAGTTAAACAGTATTGCTTGGCCTTCCAGCTGGTTGTTAACAAACTGGCTTGGCGCAGAACTATCTTGGCCCTCCAGATAGTTTTGGGGCTGTATGTTGGTGACTTTTTATTGGGGATTTGTTATTAATGACTTATCCGTTTGCTGTTATTGGTTGAGCTCATACCAGGGGTACGCGTTATTTATTAGTTGATATAAATGCTCATAAATATTTATTTGGTTTTAGGTTTAGGGCTGGTCTGTCTCTCTATGCCAATGCGCCGTAATTCACTTAATTGCTGAAGGTAACTAAGGTAGAATTAAAATTTAATTCTTAAATGTATATTTTAAATTTTGTAACAGTATATATATTTTTTTTGTAGCATCGATAATATTTTGTCAGTTATCAGACTTTGGTTTTTGTAAACCATATATGGCCATATAAGGGTGCACCAAAATATTTCTTATTACATGCAAAGTGATCATTTCAACATCGGTGAACAAATATAATTGATTTATATTTTTTTTAAACTTGACTTTTAATAACCACCCTTAGTCTTTAGTAGGATTGTGTCTGACTTACTTAGATTTTAACAACTGGCCATAATAAGACACTGGCGCCCAATTTAGGATTTATGTTAGTAAAAACACGTAAGTATTGAGAAACAACATTTGCCCATTGACCTATATCACCACTGTAAAGCTGCCGTTCTTCTTCTTCTTAAATCTGAACACAGATAACTGTGTTCAGGGGTAATGGCCTTTAGCTTAATTTAAAATGGCCAGCTCATTATGTTTAAAAAAAGTTAATATGAACAAGGGTCTCAATCAAGAGAGTCTGAGTTAAACTCATCCCTTAAATCATTTGGCTAATACTTCTCATAAATACTCGTAGAAAAAATAAGTAAACTTAAGGAAGTAACAAGAATATATTTACACATGTTTCTGATGTGTCCTGTCCATGGGCTTGGAATGGCCGTAAAACGAGAAGTTTATAAACTTCTCTAGACACTCGTTTTTATTAAACACTCGCTCGCAAGCTTCGCTCGTGCCTAATAAAACTAAAAAATAGATATTTATAAAAAAAACTTTAAATAATAGTAAAAGTTTTAAAAAATTATAAAAGTTGTACTCAAAAGAGCTTCTTTTAGTTTGACTCTTACTTCATTGGAAGTACCAAAAGCTAGTGCAGGTTTTTTTCATAACAATGTTATATATGCGACGAATAAAATCCACATAAACTGTAATTCCGGATTGGCTGCAAATATGTTAATCTAGCTCTGTTTTAGCGACCAACTTTAAGAATATATCTTAAGCTGGTGGATTGAAGAGCCAATTGATTAATCTAAATGATAAAGGGACACGTACGTTTCCCTTAAAAGTTTTGCTCTTACCTTGTCAGCCGGGTTGTAGGCGTCCAAGTTGACACCGCAGACGTACATTGGCGCGTCGGCAGAGGGCGCTGAGATGATTACCTTCTTGGCGCCGCCTTTCAAGTGAGCGGAAGCCTTGTCGATGGTGGTGAACACGCCTGTTGATTCGACGATGTATTCGGCTCCAGCTTTTCCCCACGGGATGCTCTGTAAAAAATGCTTAATCAGGCGAGGGTTCCGCAAAAGAGACTGACGGCACTTACAGCGGGGTCCCTTTCTTGGAAGACCTGGATGGCTTTGCCGTTTACGATGAGGCTGGTTCCGTCGGTGCTGACCTCTCCCTTGAAACGGCCGTGGGTGGAGTCGTATTTGAACAAGTACACCATGTAGTCAACCTGGATGAAGGGGTCGTTGATGGCGACCACTTCGGCGCCTTTGTCGACGGCGGCGCGGAGCACCAGACGACCGATACGGCCGAATCCGTTGATACCGATTTTAGACATGCTTAGGGATTATTCTACAAAACGAAGAAATACCAGTTAGTTACTAGTTAAACACTGAAGGACGAAATTGTATATTATGTATCAAGTTTGATAAACCCCGGACAACATTTGTGATATTCATACGAACATCATGTCGTGATTTTCACAAATTTTATTCATAGTGATATCATACGGAAGTCACCGCGTGATAAATGAAAATCATACGAACGTCACGTCGTGATTTTCACAAATTTTATTCATACGGACATCATCCGGATGTCATTGCGTGAGAAATGAAAATCATGTCGTGATTTTTTATGCCAACGGTGTTTGGATAATCATTTTTGAGCTACGTTCGTACACTAAGAGAAAAATTATGTTGAATCAACAGTTTTTGCGGTTAAATACATTCAATATTTTCTTTTATTTATATTAACTAGGTATATATAATTAATTTAAATCCAAGAAAATATTGAATGTTAAACTGTTGATTCAATTGTTAACATACTTTTTCTTTCAATGTACGAATGTGGCGCAAAAATAAATATCCAAACATGTCGGTCCACCGATAGCATAAAAAATCATGTCGTGATTTTTTATGCCATCGGTGTTTGGATATTTATTTTTATTCGGCACCAAACATGTCGGTGCACCGATGGCATAAACAATCATGTCGTGATTTTTTATGCCCAAATACCGATAGCATAAAAAATCATGTCGTGATTTTTTAGGCCATCGGTCAATCGCAAACAGTGATGGCATAAAAAATCACGACATGATTTTCATTTCTCACGCAGTGACTTCCGTATAATATCAGTATGAATAAAATTTGTGAAAATCACGACATGATGTTCGTATGAATACCAAGAATGTTGTCCGGGTTCAATTAAAAAAGATATTGTTATATTGTTATATGTTTTGTTAAACATTGGAATATATTTTTTAATTGAACCCGGACAACATTCGTGATATTCAAACAACGTTTTATAAATTATAACGGTGTAATGTGAATAACAAACTATGTTTTAAATTCGCAGTTCGCAGGGCCTGAGTTCTACATGATATCACTGTGATGAAGCATGTGTATGCACTCAGGATATCACAGCGTGATAAAAAAAATCACGTTGTGATATCATCATGACTTCACCAGGAAATCCCGATTGTTGTCCGGGACGCCACTTTAGTCACGGGTTTTAATAAGGAAGGAGCGAAGCTTGAGAGCGACTGTCTAATAAATATGAGGGTCTAGAAAAGTTTGACAAGCTTTCAAAAGCAGTGTTGTCAAATGTCATACAATCTTGTTAAATAAAACTAAATGTGAAAACTATTTTATTATCTCAATACAAAAATACAAAAGTATTAAATAGTTTCTTGTCGCCAATATTTGAAAAGATTATATTAACCAGATTTAACAGGTAAAGCGTTAAAAATTTTGCGTACAGTGCCCATAAAACATTCTCTTCTCTTTTACTGTAAAAAACTGCTTCTATATCGATTGTTAGACTATTTTCAAGGGATTAATTTTGATTTACACAGAATTTTTGATATTTTAACGCCGGTAGATTCCCAAGTTTGAAATTCTAACGGGAATACATACAACTGTCACTTTTTGTACCTTTAACATTTCTCGTGTAAGAATTTTTAATACTTTGAGTTATTTTAATATTTTACAGTATCAATAATTGTTAAGTTTAATTAAAATAATAACGGGCAATGTTAATGGTAAAAATTACGTCAAAAATGTTTATTGGGATGGTTACTTTATTTTTGTATAGATGTCGCTTTATACAAATATTTAATTTAAAAATCATTTTTTAGATAATATTAAGTACCTATTTGTCGTGGAAAAAGTATAGTATGCAACTCGTTTATAAATAAGCTTTTCTAGGCACTCATTTAATTAAGCACTCGCTCGAGCCTAAAGTAAATTCGTGACTAAAATGGCGTTTATCAAAATTGATACGTAATATACTATTTCACGTTTTAGTTTTATTTCAGAAAAAGGGCACTTTATTTTGACGATCGTTTGACATTTGACACTCAACTAAATTAAAGCTAAATTCAACCCGAGATTAAAAACCTTCAGTTACAGTTCTAAAATAATATTTCTGTCCGGTTCGGACCAATCTTTTCGGTCCATACGGTTTTTTTCGGTTCCATTTTTTTTACCATGGAGGTATAAATAAGTAAAATTAAAGAATAAAAAATTAATTTTTTTGTAATTTTTTTTTGGCATGTAATTAAATTACTTTGTCTATTCTTTTTTTAAAATCAGGTTCTTCAACTTTAGGCTCTTCATTCTCTTTTTCTTTACTTTTATTTTGATCTTCCGATTGAAAAACATGAAAATTCATATTTAAAATAAATTATCCAAAAATTTAAAAAAAACTGACCTTAAAGTTTTACTTTTGTTTACTTTTGTTCTTTTTCTCCAAAAATTATGTTGGTTCTCACAAATAATTGTTCCTCTAGGGAAGTACAAATTTGTGACCGGCAAACAGCCTTTTAACACTTACTTAATTGTGTTGCAGGTGTCATATGTATACATAATACTAGGCAACAGTGTAATTAATAAATCCCCACTACAAATGTACCTACCACCCAAGCTAGTCAAGAATCTTGACTCAAGATACATACACCTACAATGTAGGTCCTACGTGTCATTTTAATAAATCAGTCTTCAACCTATGGCGCAGTCGGTGGGATATTTTGTAGTGGGGGTTTATTAATTACAGTTTTGCCTAGTATTATGTTTACATATGACACCTGCAACACAATGAAGCCTTAAAAGGCTGTTTTCCGGTCACACATTTTTACTTCCCTAGAGGAACAATTATTTGTGAGAACCAATATAATTTTTGGAAAAAAAGAACAACCAAAGTTCAGTTTTTTTTATTTTTGGATAACTTATTTTAAATATGAATTTTCATGTTGCCTTTTTCCAATAAAGTTATTTTAATTTACATTTGCAATAATTATTTATACAACATTTACAATACACAGCAGGAATCCCTAATAATACTTGTGCTAGAGTGCATAATTTATAGATTTACCTATAGCCTCTAGCTATGACATTAGTTCTTTAATATTCCTACTATTTTTGAGATTTACATAAAAAATATAGTAGGTAATAAATTATTACTTACTAATAATCAAATAATAAACTTTTAACATTATTTTTTTGGAATCTGTGCTGTAAAGAAATCTGAAATTATTTGTGAATGTGTCTGATGCCTCACAAAATCATATATTAAATCTTGAAGACATTCCATAAAAACTCTTCAGGAGAATCTACCTTAAAGGTGGGATTAGAAAAAATATTTATGTTAGAGGTCACTAAGGTCAATGTTATATCTTGAAGGGTCTCAAAAAGAAGTTGAATACAAAAATAAATTAACTTATTGTTAGTATATATAAATACCTGTGTACATATTGGTTTTAATTTATAAAATATTCAATTATAAGAAAAGGTTTTAGTTAAAAACAACTAAAAAAGTCGTTAACTAAAGAAAAAAAAAATCAAAATGAACATTATGATATTGTAATATTTCTTAGGACCTGTACTTTAAAATACCTAAATAAATTAACAGTATAATAATATAAACACCCTTTATTTATTTAACCCTTTAATTACAAATAGGAATAAAAGAAACATGATTAAATCAAAATTTCTCCATGCACATATGTAACCAAGAACTCTTTGGATGTAACCTCGTGAAGGTTAAATAAAGGTCATCGCTTTAACCGGCATTTTTCGCAATTTCTGCTATGAAAAAACGCGAAAAAACGTTTCATACAACAATTTACATTACGCAACAGTGTAATCTAGCCACCCAATAAACAATTACGTCTAAATAATCAAGTACGTAGGCGTACAACACCCCGCAGCCGGCGACTTGATTAGCGAAAAATAATAGCAATTTCGCGTTTTTATTGGCCGAAAAGTGACATTAGGACAAACATTGTTGGAAGTCGTTTAAGTTTAACAATTTGTACTTACAATTAAAATTCAACGACAACACCCAAACTGCACTTACACAAGACGGAAAGTGTCGTATGAAGGGCACCGCTCGTTATAAAAACCAAACGAGAAAGTCACGTGACCCGTGACGTAGGGCGACGTTGCCGGATTTATTTATTGCAACTTTTTCACGTTGATCTCGAGAAATAATATTATTTGATTTGATGATTTGATTTATACAAAAATTTTTATACAGTATTTTGAGAATGTTATGAAAATTAATGTAATTATTAATTTAATTGTATTAATTTTGACACGTTTATGTGGAGTTTTTGTGAAAACTTAAATTTTCCTGTAGAGGAAATCGCAGTGAGTTTGGCAACGCTGCGTTGCAAACATGCGCGTGATTTTGCTTTATGGATAAACTTGAATGTCAATAAAAAGTCAAAATAAATCGATCTTGAGGCTTTTGTTTTGCGAAAATCTCCTGTTTATTGGTTTAGGGTCGTTCCACGTTACTCGGGGATTTTTTTCCCGCCCGTCACAACTAAAAATTGTGAGTAAAAACTACCCGTTTAATATAAAATTTATTTTAAAATATTGTTTATTATGCTTTTAATAAGTTATAAGCACAATAAAAATAATATTATAAAATATTAATTTAATAACTTAGTGGTTTTTACTCACAATTTTTAATTGTGACGGGCGGGACAAAAATTACCGAGTAGCGTGGAATGCCCCTTTATCTAATTTTGAATAATATTGCATTTTTTGCCATAACAGACGCACACTTCCAACTAAGTATTGCAACCCATCGCTATTTATAGTTAGCTCGCTTGCGTAAGCAGCCGTGAGATGTATTGCTTATGCCGCGGCAGGCCGTATTCCGGCCGTAAGCGGGCCGGCTAGGGCAAGCCGAACGATTTTGCAGCGGCATGCTGTATTCTGGCCGACTTTGGTTGGAACATGGCCAAACGGTACCGGGCTAACATAACGCGGGCCATAAGCGGGAAGACTGGGGGCAAGCCGAACCGCCGGTCAACCGCCTATGCCGAGTGAAGGCCGACTGTTTGGTGCTTACTGGGTAATAGCACGTTTGATTGATTAGAACAAATTTAATTTATTTTTTATCTTCTATCCAGGCAGATCTTAAACATCTTAAAACGGTCGTTGTATAAACAAAATAAACAATGCATCTGCAGCTAGCTGAACATGGTTAGATAGTTTGCGTCAAAAATTTAAAATTTAACTCGTCCTTTTAATATTTTGACACTAGTAATAAAACAAATATGTTAATATAATTTTTATTAAAAAACAAAATAAGATTTAAATCGAATAATTTTATCAGTTAACAGTTACCTACCTACTATTAATTTAAAACATAAAAAAACATTCCAAACATTGTCATAAAATAGCTAAACCAACATAAAAAATAAAAGCCCTAGTTATTCTATTGTGATTAACTGCAGTTATATGGGTATAACTTATAACTAATAAAAATAAAGATTTTGGCAACAAATATTACAAACATCAGTCTTTACTCATCCTTTTTAAGTTGCTTGATCCTGGATAAAATTAGTGCTCCTACATCAGTATCTTCATCTAAAATTATTAAATAAAAATAGTATATTACACTACAAGGGCAGAAAGTGTGAGATTCCTGCACTGCGCGCGAAGCCCGTGTAGTGTATACTATTTTTCTTACTACCTCGGCCGAAAATACAACCCGGCCGAAAATACGGGAAAAAATTAAATGTGTATTTATGTACCTATCTCCATTTGAAGAGCTTGATAAATAACAGTAGGCCGTGAATTCAGCGGTGCCAATATAGTAAAAATAAAACGTTGTATTTTAATTAACAAATTACTACTTTATAACAAATAAAAGTAACATTAAACACTTAAAACAACATAAAAAGTAAAAAAGTAAAAACATAAATTGTTTATTTGTTGTTATAATTGCAAAATTATGGTTTAAAACTGTCATATTTTTGTGTTTCTCATGTTGGCAGTACGAAATTTGAATGTTAAGCACACGACTAAAAAATTTTTTCTCCCGCTATTAGAGTGTGCGCATATAGCTTGACCAATGCATAAAACGTAAACGTAATCGGGGACGAAACAACGTATTTTGAGTCGAGGTAGTAAGAATAGTACATTCTGTAACAAGTTTGGAATACAGCATATTCCGCTCGAGGAAAAAATTGACACACGAGCCGAAGGCGAGTGTGACGGTTTTACGAGAGTGGAATATGCTATTCCAAACGTGTTTCAGACATTATTTTCTCTACGACTACATTCTTACGTAACGCTTATATAATTTAAAACAGAAAAGAAACCAAGCAGTTTTTGACATTTAAGTTTTTGTATTGTCAAACCATTTTGTGCCGTCACAATTTTATAATGTAAATTATAATAAATTTAAACAAATGGTATGCCTAAATCTTTATTATAATTAAAAATAGTTATTTACACTGACTAATAAAAAAAATAACATTGTAACAAATACAAAACTAATTTTACAAGTAATCTATGTCAACATCTATTCTTTTTCTACATTTTAAAGGTCTTTTTTTAAACTTTTTGAATCTGTCAAAACTTCAAAGCCGGTATAGTAGGTAACTGGTTTATCATTTTAATATCAAATTTATTATAATTTTGATTTGTATATTTGAAAAACAATAAATATAACTAATTTTTTGTGCCTAAACCTTAATTACACTAGGCAACAAATTTTAACTTAAAAAAAAGGTCCTGGTTAAAAATAGAATTTTTCGATTGTTTATGACTGAAATAGATCCAAAATGTTTTTAAAAAAAATTTCTGAAGTCGGAAATAAAAAATAGGAGCACAGTTACTGTATTTTGGTACCATTTATTACATAGATTTGAAAATTTTAGGATGACGTTACTTTTAACTTACATTTCAGCATTCCATGAACAACATATCTGTACATATTGTAAAAATTTAAGGCATGTTTTTTTGATGTTTACTGTTTTTTATCGTTCGAATTATTTTGTTTACTTATTTTTATCGTTATTATTTAACAATTTTTCTTTGTATCATGGTCCTGCCCGTATCGTCTAAACGAGACTTTGGAAAATTTTTTGGTCGCCGGATTTGCGTCGAGCAGGTCAAAATCCATAGGACTGTGCTATTTTTATTACCGACCTTTTTTATTTACTTATTTTTATCGCTATTGTTTAACAATTTTTCTTCGTATCATGGTCCTGCCCGTATCGTCTAAACGAGACTTTGGAAAATTTTTTGGTCGCCGGATTTGCGTCGAGCAGGTCAAAATCTATAGGACTGTGCTATTTTTATTACCGACCTTTTTTATTTACTTATTTTTATCGTTATTATTTAACAATTTTTCTTTGTATCATGGTCCTGCCCGTATCGTCTAAACGAGACTTTGGAAAATTTTTTGGTCGCCGGATTTGCGTCGAGCAGGTGAAAATCTATAGGAGTGTGCTATTTTTATTACCGACCTTTTTTATTTACTAATTTTTATCGTTATTACAATTTTTCTTTGTATCATGGTCCTGCCCGTATCGTCTAAACGAGACTTCGGAAAATTTTTTGGGCGCCGGATTTGCGTCGAGCAGGTCAAAATCTATAGGACTGAGCTATTTTTATTACCGACCTTTTTTATTGTTTACTAGTGTTATACAACTGCTATTATTTTTTAATTAATAAATAATACAGTAACATTTAAATATTTTTAAATTTTTTACGTTTAGTAAACAGCCAGGAGATGTCGTTACTTGTGACCATTCTTAAACAAGAGTAGGAATATTCTCGCACAGTATTGCCATAGATTAGATAAAGTATTGCAGAAAAACATCCTTTCTATGATCAAAAATTACACTAGAATGTTACTATTCTTAAGTAGTCGTAGAGAAAATACTTTTTTTCGAAATAAATAAAAAAAAACAAGTCCGAAAAATTAAAGCGATTATTTTTTGCCGTTTCTAAAAGCCAATGGAAATTTTCAATTTTAGTCATGTGAGTATGTCAATCAAAAGATTACTATATCGGAAATAATATTGTAATGGTTCAGTACTTTAATACGTTTTACAAATTTATTTTTGAATAAGTTTCTAATTTATAAATGGTGTTGTAAAATTTAAAATTCTTTGCAAAAGAGGTAAAAAACGAACGGTTAGGTAATATAACGATTTAGATTTAAATAAACTGAGCATTCGTAATTTTGCACTACTGCGTTTAGTGAATTTTACTCGATATTAACACCTTTTGTTTAAGCTATTTTTATAAAATGTTTTTGCCTTTTAAGTCTACTGTTAAATGTAAAAAATTTATATTCCTTTCTTTTATTGTCTTAGGCTTAATTTAGTTGTATACTGTCCCGGTAACCCCAACACGATTATGCATTTTTTTGCGGTAATTTTAAAACAAATATCAGTGTAATACAGGACGTTTCGTTGCTTAAAAGGGAGCATTGACCGTTAATTTTAAACTTTGAATGCTCCTTTTTCTTTAGTACGTAGTTTGCAGTAGATACTAAAATGCTCCCCTCCGCGAGGGATAACTGGTCACCTAGGTTCTCTAGGTGGCATCGCAACTTTTATCCCGAACTTTACGCGAGTTGCTTCCAGTGTGGACCTCGTTCTCCACAGAGCAACGTTAACGTTGACAGACTAACAGTTAACTGCCCTGTTAAACGAACAACGTTTTTCCTATTTTTGAACCTGTAGGGGGTAGATAGCGTAACGAGCCTCGTGTCATTCCATTGATTTGCATAAACTTTTAAAAGAAACAATGCCTAATCGTGTAATCCTTTGCTACTTCATAGCCGAACAGGGTTTTTTCCCAAGCTCTTTTTCCCTGGTCGTATCTCCCTAAGAGCCACCCCTTGTTTTTTTTAACTGTTTGTAAACTAAATTAAATTGGGGTAAACTAAACACTGTATTTTATTTTTTTGTATACCAAATTTTCCCAAGTATGATTTTTAAAGCAATGTATTTAATAAAACAAGTAACGTAACCACAACGTAGAGGTCCAAATTTTGGTAAGACGATCACGAGCCATAGTCACAAAATAGTTCATTTATTAATTTTTCATAAAACTTGTTTTAACGAACCTGGTGTAAGGAGAAATCTTTACAATATCTAATTGAATTTATTTTCGCGGAAATTTTATGATCTGTCACTATTAGTATTTTAGTATCATACTAGTATTTTAAAATGAACAGCAAATGTTTATTTCAACATCTGAGGATGAAATAAACGCTCAAATATAAAAAAATACATAAAAAAATACTCAAACCAGCAATAAATTAATTTGGAAACAATTTCAAACGTTTTGTGGTGAAAAATGATACTTAATATCGTCAGAAATAATCTTTCGAATAGGTACCACTTGAGAGATCAATAAATTAAAAAATAATTCTCCAGAAAATATCTGTCAAATTATTTTCAATTTATTTTTACTCTCTTGTTATATTACTGTTGAAAAAAATGTTAGGGAAAATATTAGATTATTAAACCGTCGATAAGAATCCAAGATGGCGGCCGCCGTAAGATGGGTGGCCTATTTCTTCACAACCTCCTTGACAAGGAAAACAAATCAAAGGGTTTGACAAAAATTTAGAAAATTTCCAATGTTCGAAATTCTTATAATATTTAATATACAGTGTGACCCATTTGTTTGCGACTCACCCCTGTAAAATCTTTATATTGTGCGATTTTAAACGGATTTGATTTAAAGTGTAGATCTTGATAAACTGTATTTTTGGAGCAAAAAATGCCATATTTGTGAATACAAGGCCTACTATGTCAGTAATTTTTTAAGAAATTATATTTGCAATTTTTTTAAACACAATCTAAGCACGGCACTGGATTCACCACCCCTCAAAACGACCCTTTACTAAATTTTATTGAAAAATTTTAAGTAGAAAAATGTACAATAATAACTACAAAAATTTATTCTGTCAAGTTATTCTTGAAAAAAATATTGAAATAAAATTAAACTTACAAGTAATTATTAGTATTATATAATTATATAGTACAATGTTAATTTTATTTAAATATTTTTTTCATGGATAACTTGACAGAACAAATTTTTGTAGTAATTATTGTGCATTTTTCTACTTAAAATTTTTCAATAAAATTTAGTATAGGGTCGTTTTGACCGGTGGTGAATCCAGTGCCGTGCTTGGATTTTGTTTAAAAAAGTTGCTAGTATGAATTCTTAAAAATTTACTCTTAAAAACTGACATAGTAGGCCTTCAAAAATACAGTTTAGCAAGATCTACACTTTAAAACAAATCCGGTTAAAATCGCACAATAAAGATTTTACAGGAGTGAGTCGCAACAAATGGGTGTATGTATAAAAATTTCTAAAATTTTCAAAAATGACAGCTGGTCATATCACAGCAAACGGAAAATTATAGAAGTGTATAGGATGACTCCGCGTTTGAATATCAAATCTTAAAGTTTTATCATAACTGTATTGAATCGTGCTTTGTTTTTATATTTTTCGGCTCTATACCTATGCACGACTATATTTAAAGTCAAACTCAATAGTGTCTTACAAGATACATTATTTTGATTTTCTATATTCAACAGAGAGGTAGAAACTCGATCCTGTCGAATGGTGCAGTCATTTATGTCTCTAGAAATTATTAAAAAAGGGTTCAGTCCAATGGTGCAGCAACTTCGGATTCCTATTCTCCTCAGAGACATAGAAACTCAAGCTTTTCGAATTTTACTGGCAATGATTTTCGTTAATGTCCCCGAGAATTATACAAAAACAGCGCAATGCAATATCGCAACGGTTTCGACTTCTCTTTACTCTACCAAGTTATAGAAACTGGAGTCTCTCTAATACTGTTCTAGTCAATATTTCTGAGAGTATAAAAAGAGGGTGTAATATTGCAAGAAGTTTTGATCTTTTGATGGATGCAAGTAGTTTGAATTTTCTCCTTTCTGCATATGATTTTGTTGAAAATAGTTCCTTTCTTTGGTTCCTTTGTCTGATTTTTAGTTACCGTAACAACTCAGGTATGTAAAGCACAGATGATATGATGTTAAGTATATTTATGTATTATATAAAGTACCTATATTTGTATTAAAAATTTCAGAGGTTATGTTGAAAAAATGATCGATATGCTATTAAACTTTAATAATTTAGTAATTAGGTCTGTTGGTAGACCCTGCACTATCTCCACTGGTATATATACATATATGTTAGTTTTGTAATATTTAAATCTGGTTGATGAAAAAGTACCTACACACCAGTGCAGGTTATTGTAGCATCTACGAACAAATGAATTAATGGCCCATTGGCAATTATTCCTTTAGGAAAAATATTCAACACAGCTTAATTAATTAATAAAATTAATTAATTAATAAAATTAATTAATTAATTAATAAAATGAAAAAAATAACAATCATGTCGTATATATATATACTAAAAAACTATAGTTTTTTTTAAGCATAAAATAATTTTTATATTAATACTAGTTCAAAAGTGAAATTACGACCTCTATACTGTGGAGAGTATTGAAACGCTCGACTGACGAATACAACTCTATACCGTAGGGAGATTTAGAAAACGATATTCAAACGTGGCGTCATCCTATACACCTCTATAATTTTCCGTTTGCTGTGGTCACCTGTCACTTTTGACATCTGTCATATATCATATCATATATGACATCTGTCATTCTTTTTTTGTTTTAAACTTTTTTGTCCTTCCAATAGAAAACGAGATAAAGATAGGTTGCCTATTTCTTCACAACCGCCTAGAAAAGGGAAACAAATTAAAGGGTTTGACAAAAATTTAGAAAATTTCCAATGTTAGAAATTCTTATAAAATTTAAAAATTATAAAAATGTCAAAAAATTCTAAAATTTTCAAAGTTGTTCAAAAATGACAGCATATTTCACTTGTCATTTTTGAATAGAAAACAAGAAAAAACTTACCTTCATAGTAAAGTAATTCGCAAGTGTTTAGATGATTTTCTTTTAAAATCATTTGTAAAGTGATGTAGAACTGATGGACTATGTCGCTTTCTAAGGCCTTGTAGGTTTCTAAAAGAAGAAAATTAATTTTTTCATGAAAAAATCTCTAAGAAATTACTTACCGCTATGTTGTCCAGTATGCTTGACCACCTCTATAAATGTTTTCAAGGGGGTTGCATACTCAGCTAAAACGTATCTGATATCCTTATTATTTTCAAATATTTTATAAACCGAATTTTTGTAAACTCTGTCTTTAACCCCCGCCCTGGTAATTTTTTTCTCCAACATGGACTACAACAAAAAAATAACGTCGTAAGATAAATAATCCATTGACGCTGCATCTTACTGATGCGCATTCGACATATTTGCTGCCCTCTTCCAGCGATTCGTAACAATTCAACGACTTCGGTATCAAAATAAAGAGTTTGTACACTTCAAACTTTATATCGTGATGGGACTCGTACAGTTCCATGTTCTCCTTTAAATTTACGTCGCCAATACCAATTTTGGTCAGCAACAATTTTAAGTAGCCGTGGTAGAAGGAATAGGCCATTCCTGCGCCATAATCGATGCCGTAGTTTTGAGATATCCAATACGACATATGCAGTTTTGTGGAGTTCTAAAATATATAGGTACAGCCACAATCCACACAACATTGTGTGGATTGTGGGTACAGCTGCAAAATTTACCTTGATTGCTTAGAAATTGATTATTACACTATATTTTTATAGAAATCACAAAAAACAATTTTTTTAACACTTTAAAACATAGAAAAAAAATTTCGGAATACAACTTGCTGCCAACTTAATTTTTCCATTATAATAATTATAATGGAAAAATTAACGTTTAAAACTTATAATTTATAACAACAAATAAACAATTTATATTCTTACTACATTGGCAATGCTGAATTTGCTGTCACGGACCATTTCTTCAAAAACTGGGTAAATCTTGAATAATTTTTACTTAACAAACTGTTTTCTCAATCTTGTCAAAGCTATAGGTACACAGGTTATACTTACCAGATTTAAGAGTTTCATCAGCATAAAAATGCTGAGCAATAACCAGAATAACTCATTTTTGTTAACAATAATTGCTAGTGATTTTTTACTGGCCCCAACAACTACAACTATAATGATGGATAAAATCAAAGTAGTTACTGCTGTTTTTGATAAACTCATGAAATTCGAAAATACTGTTGACAATTTATTGTTGTAACGGGATTTTATGTGCGATTTTTCCTCACAGAGCAAAATAAATCTATGTAGATATTCACACATAAATCTGAATATGATCAGTGAGCTATATAGGGCTAAAAAAATCCAATCATTATTTTTTTTTAAATTATATATACAAGGTGTTCAGGATTAAATTTAGTAGCAGCACATTACATATCAAGACGCGGCGATTTCTGTAGTTCTGTACTTTTTTTTAAATTTTGTTTTTTCGCTGACAATTGTCAACCTAACTTTTTACAAATCTGACACCTGTCAGACAGATTTAACTTCACTTAATAGTATAAAGTTTATACCAATCCGACATGTCAAAAAGTTTTAACCTCACTTTTTTAAAATTTAATGTGCATTAAGTGTGAGAGTGGAAAACAAATATTTTGCCATCAAATACTACCAAAACCTGGGACACCCTGTATATCAAGCCTTGTTTGTAAACTTACTTATGGAATTTATTAAATTTTCACTAATGAATAACATTGGAACTAAAAATAATTAAATAAATAAGTACTGCATATTTACTTAATAGATAACTTACTTAAAAAAAATACAAGTGATACAAAAAAAATAATAATAGTAGTTTTTGAAAATGTTTCTTTGAAATAATGTTTTCGAACCCTTGGTAAAGTTGGAGGATAATAAGTTTGCCCATTCAGTTTCTTTCGGACATATTTCTAAAATTAAAAATATATAAATCTGTCATTTTGACGTAAACCTATTTTATATTTGACTTTGACAGATTTGATTTTGTTGGTATTATGAGTAATTGGTATTCCTGCTTTAAATAATTTTGGACAGTTCCTTGACAGATATTCTGACAATCAAGCTGTCAAAGTCAACATAAATTAAACCTACAAAAGTAAAAAAAACTTACACTTCTTACACTTTTAAGTTGACTTTCCATTTCAAAAGGGCATACCAAACTGACTTAAAATTTACAGAATATCCCGGCTATATTATAAACATACACTAATCAATTCCCATTTCCTCTTCTGTATTCAAGGCTCTTGAGATATGCACAGAACATGAGATATGACTTGTTTATTTTAAAAACTGCTGAAATTGTACATATTTCTATAACCAAGCTTTATCTTAATCACCACCTTAAAATTCATCACTATATGTCATGTAGTAAATATACTTTAATTTCATCATATATGATAAATTAAAGAAAATCAACACTAAAATATACTGATTGTTTATAAAAATAAATAAAAACGTAACCTCAAAATCAGTAAAATAGAGAAGAAGAAGAAGAAACTTACGTAATTTAATTTTAAAACACGCCTAACTTCATGCGGTACCTTTGACAGCTCAATTTACGTAAAAATCACCAAAAATCTGTAAAATGCCGGAAGCAAAGCCCAGAAATATCGTGGAGTCGTTTTTTACTTCTGTAGGCAATATTCTGGAGTCGCCTGTAATCTGGGTTAGAGGTAAATTTTAGGTTATAAATTTTGCAAATTTCTTCTTCTGTCGGGCGAATTGATGTGTTTAATTTTGTTTTTTAGAAAAAATCGTTGAACCCAACCAAAAACAGTACCCATGGTACCACCAGAAGTTCCGCAGGGTTCCAACCATTGACCAGTGTTACGAAGACGATATTGTCTGTCAATTTGAAGCTGATGCCCAATACAGAAGAGATAAGTACATAAAACTCATAATAATACAAAATAATTTGTTACATAATCAAATTTTTATTTTAGACAAGTAGATTCTGAGGTATTAACAATCCTAAGAGAACGCTTTGAAGATTGCGCTCTATACGAAGCCCCTGATCATTTGGAAAAATGCACTCCACTGCTTAAGCAGTACGAAGACGCTACGACCAATTGGTTTATTAAATATGGCGATTTAGGAGCTTATCATAATGCTAAAACTGCTTTCATGAAGCAAAAACATAGAATGGTTTGGGAACGTAGACACGGACCAGTCGGCTGTGGCATGCAAGGAAAGGTTGCTGAGTAATTTTTGAACAATATATTTGATGTAGTTACAAAATATTTCATAGTTATTGAAAATGTAATAAACATTGTAATAAGGTTCACCTTGGTTTTTTATTTTTATTTCTCCAATTGTACTGGTAATTTTAAATAATTTCCTTAAGAGGGCAATTAAAAAAGCTCTGTAGTGATTATAGGCGATATTTTGGGATTTTCGTTACAAAAAAAGTATGTGATACAGCTAGCTTCGATTTTCAATTCATAGATGTCACTACACGAAAAACTTGTCATATACTTGGGCTATGTTCCGTAATTTACTGTCGGTACTGAAAACGCATTCCGAAATCCACTTTCAGTCATATACCTATAATTATAGTTATAGGCACAATCCACACAACAAGGTCTGTTCTTCCTCGATAAATGCGAACGAAAATCAGGACTGCGCACCACGTGAACAATTTAATGGTAATCAATAATTAATAATAATAATAATAATAAACTTTATTGGAAATCCAAAAGGCTAACGACTTTCGTCTTCCTGCCCAATTACAATTTTGTATATAACAAATACTATATTTTAATTCATGTTCTATACTTTACAAAAAAAAAAAAAAAAATGTTATAATTAAATATATTGTTAATATCTTCATTATTCTTCTGTCAATTCCCTGAGTGAGTCATACAACGATTTCTCTGGGTATTTTCTCCTTGGTGTTGTCTCGAGTTGTGTTTTAAGAATCAAAGGTTCCATCACATTAAGGTTTTCGGGTTTGTTGGCAAATTTTTTCGCTAGGTATTCCAATCTTTCTTGTATGGGTTGTATTCCAGTGATATGGTAAAGGGCTTCATTGGATGGGTTAAATAAGGAATTTTGAGGATGTCTGATTTTTGTAATTTTCCTTATGCTTGTGCGCTCGCCTATCTCTATGTTTGTTAGGGTGGGTTTTCTGCAATTTATAAAAAGAACTGATCCATATTCCAGCACTGGGCGACAGATTAGTTTATAAATGTTGGTTGCCACAGCAATATTTATTCCCTGGTCTTTATAAGTTAAGCTTCTAAAGTGCTTGGCCCTGTTTATAATACATGTCTTGGTGTGGCTTGTGTGTTGTTTGAAGTTTAACTTGGAGTCTATCAAAATTCCCAGGTAACGACATGATGTTGAAGGTTCTACTGTACTTTGCATAATATTTATTGTGGGCGAATTTTCTTTTATTTTGTGATGGAACAGTAGTAGGCATGATTTTGACGGACTTGGTAGGATTCTCCATTTAGACATCCATGACGATACCTGATTGGTTAGTTCTTGTAGTTTCACAGTTGCTTCAGTTGTCGTTTTTCCATGCGTTATCAAAACTGTGTCGTCAGCATATTGGAGAATATAGCTCTGTCTGTTTATGTTTAAGTGGTCCAAATTGTACATGTCATAACAAAATAAATTATACAAGAACGGTGATAATGGTGAGCCTTGTGGCACTCCTTGTTCTGGTGAAAAGGTGGGGGATAGTGTATTGCCAATTTTTACTTGTATTTTCCTTTGTGTGAGAAATTCTTTTATTATCCATACCAAATAATTCGGGCTTTCCAATTTCACCAATATATTATTATAACTTTTAATACCTTTTCTTAAAAATTGATTATTGGCAATATTAAAATCTTTAAATAAAATTATCAATGATGAAAGTATTTTAGCAAGTAAAAATAGATGTACTATGCTCCACACTTCAAAGTCCCACCACGTGACCAGGTACGGAACGCAGTCTTTTGAAAATTTGTCATTTAAGGGCCTGATTTGGAAGTCCACACAGAACATAAGTCCAAGTGCCCCGCTATGAGCTTTGAGGCTTTTCAGGTTATGTATCTGTCAAAGTATAGTCAATGAAATAAATAATATTTATACTGTTACCGTTTATGTTCTTTAACGCTTAAAAGCGTTAAAAGTTTATAAATCTTTATAGTATCACAGTAACAATGGTTGGTTTAAGAGTTTAGGAGTATAAATTCTGCATTTAATGAAATTCTAAAGTGTATAGTGCCAAATAAGTAAAATTTGTGTGCATTTTGTCTACATAATATGTTAATATATTATATCTGGTTTTATCCATAAAATAGTTTTAACTAAACGGCATTTATTAAAAAAATCTAGCTTCTCTATTATGGAATAAGAATATCTGTATCAAAGGTAGGTTAATATATTATAACAAAAAATATCATCTAATTTTAAAATTTTAAGGTTAGAAAAATCTATTTTGATCAAAATAAATAAGTATTTTTGATTATTTGGAAGAGTGTGTTAATATGGTCATATAAATATAGATATACTAAATAATTGTTGAATATGGTTTAAATTAAATTAAAGCTTTTATACTCCTAACAACAAAACTTGTGCAAACCTCTCGGGATCCCTACTTTAAGTTAGATTATAAGGAAACAAACAATTTTATTCATTTTAAGGTGTTGTTTTGGATTCCTTTAAAATAAACCCCTATAATGTTGGTTTAATTGGAATAAAACACACTTTTAAAAATCTTGAAATATATTTAAGTTTTAAGTACTTTAAATAAATAAATATTTATGCCCAAGTAAAACAAATTAGTCATTAACTACCTAAATGTAAGCTGTAATTAAATAACTTGCTCTTGGAAATAAGCACCATGAGAGATCTCAAATATAAAACCATTATAATATATATACCTATAGGTAGGTACATACAAAGGGTGTATTATCTTTGGCTACATACTGTAACTGTAAATTCAATAGCTAACCTTCTTAAAGTTCCTTACACTGTCAGCTAATATACCCATAGTGTCAATACAAGTACCTATAAAAGCTTCGACAAAATTTTATCTACATCGAACAATCATTAGGTATAAATAACCTTATAAATTCTAAAATTTAAATAAAACCACAGTATACTCTATCTATTTTTTTACTTGTAGTAGTCTTTCTTATCCAGCTTAAAGTATACCTACATAAAGTTTTGTCAATACAATTACGTATAAAGCTTCAACTGAATTTTATCTTCATCAAAAAATCATTATAACTTTTAAAAATTTCAAAAATCACATGTTATGGGAGTATTAAATATTTTTACATTGCATGTATCTCTAAAAATTGTTTGTTTCCTTATAATCTAACTTAAAGTAGGGATCCCGAGAGATATGCACAAGTTTTGTTGTTAGGAGTATAAAAGCTTTAATTTAATTTGAACCATATTCAACAATTATTTAGTATATCTATATTTATATGACCATATTAACACACTCTTCCAAATAATCCAAAATACTTATTTATTTCGCCGTGACTAGGTGCACGTTAGAGTGCCCGCAATTTATTTTTTACGGGCACGCTAGTGATAAAAAACGTCATCACTGCCGTGCCGCTTAATTTAAAATTGGCGGCACAACAATAATATAATAATAAATTGTACCTGTATACATGTTAAGGGCACGTTACGCAATACGTTACGTAATAAAACCAAACCAACCCAAACTCAACAACACAACCCAACCGACCCCGCCCCATTGCCCCCCCCCGCCCCATTGAGCAAAAAACCCAACTTAAATGGGCAAATTTATGTTACGATAAAAATAAAACACTTTTTAACAAAGGAACAACAAATTTATGAAATAAAAAATTAAAAAAATTTCGACAACTTCTGAGTTTCGAACCCGGGACCTCTCGCATGCAAAGCAAACGCCCTACCATCTAAGCTATCTAGCTTCACAACAAATATTATATGTTCGGGGAACAAAACCGGATTATTATTATGACGTCACTAGCGTGCCCGTAAAAAATAAATTGCGGGCACTCTAACGTGCACCTAGTCACTTTGTATTTATTTTGATCAAAATAGATTTTTCTAACCTTAAAATTTCAAAATTAGATGATATTTTTTGTTATAATATATTAACCTACCTTTGATACAGATATTCTTATTCCATAATAGACAAGCTAAATTTTTTTAATAAATGCCGTGTAGTTAAAACTATTTAATGGATAAAACCAGATATATGTAATTTACATTAATGTAAACCAAATGCACAAAAATTTTACTTATTTGGCACTATACACTTTAGAATTTCATTAAATGCAGTATTTATACTCCTAAACTCTTAAACCAACCATTGTTACTGTGATACTATAAAGATTTATAAACTTTTAACGCTTAAACATAAATGGTAACAGTATAAATATTATTTCTTGCATTGACTATACTTTGACAGATGCATAACCTGAAAAGCCTTAAATGACAATTTATCAAAAGACTGCGTTCCGTACTTGGTCACGTGGTGGGACTTTGAAGTGTGGAGCATAGTACATGACCATAGTCGATGATTTTTTTAGAAATTAAAAGTTAAGATAAAGTAATATAAATCAAAATAATTTAATTGCAAATTGATAATTTTTTAGTAAATTAATTTTTGAAAGTACAGAAATTATTAATGGTGAACGTAGGATTTCTAGTAAGTAGATATACAGGGTGTCTCAAAAGTCAAGGACAGCAGAAAAGGGGTAAATAGAGAATGGGATTCTAAGTCGAATGGAATTTGCCGTTTTTCGATCAGACGCACCATTAATTAGTTATTAATAAAATAAAGTAGCCAATCACAGGCGTGTTTTAGCAGACTGATTAGAGGTGGGACAACACAAACTTTTGTAAAAATTCCATAGCTATGAACATGTCATATGTGAAATGACCTTAAATTAATTTATTTACTGTCACTGTCAGTGTTTTGGTTTTTTAGGTTCAGTAGAAATGTTTATTTTTTTGTGTGGGACAAATAGGTACCTACCTATCTTTTTGTTATTTTTTTTAACTTGCGAATTATTAAATAAGTAAATACAAGGTTGATGGTGATATACTTTACTTTACTATTACTTTTTATTAAGTAAAAATAATTACTTTATTAATAATTAATTTTTATATTATTATTTAATTAGAGATATTTTTATCCCTGATGAATATGACATACATATATATACATTGTAATGTCATTTTTGTTAAAAAAAACTTTAACAACTTTTTGAAATGCCTCGCGCTTATACTGTTGCCGAACGTGCAGACATGGTCCGTATTTATTACGAATATGCTCAC